GATGGTCAACGTGGCTGTCAACAGGCAAACGCCAAGGTGGTTCTTTTTAAAAGCCCGCTCCCCCCTCCCTACTTAATTAAGTAAGGGAGAGGTAGCTACTACCTAGCACGCAGGATAGCTCACGCTTCTTCAGGAAGCTCCCGCCGCCGCCCTTTTGTAACAAGAACATGAAGAACTGTTGGGCCAGGTCATCCTACGGCGTTCCGTTGTCCTATGGTAGATAGAATAGGCCACTTGTTCATAAAGACCGCCATTGACTACACTCTCGAAGCATCTTGAAGTCTTGAAAACGGGCCCTTCCCCCCTTAGCATTGCCCGCAAGACACACTGTTGGGCTGCGTTTTTGCACAGGCCTACGGAGCATCCCACATGGCAGGATGGGTGTCAGGTGAGCCCGGGTGTCAGGTGAACAAGAGTGCAGCCAAGAGTCATGTGCCTGAAGAAAGAAATAAAAGAAAGGAAGCAAGAAGGAAAGGCAGGAAGAAAGAGTCATTTTCGTAAGTGATCTCCTCTTGCCGGCCTAGCCCCCGCCAGAAAAAGAATTTGAACAGCTTGGGTTCTTCCTCCACCCAAGATACCAGTCACTTTGGATCTGAGGCCCCTTCAGACCTTCTCGAAGTGGATTAAGTGGACTGGAATCCCAAGACTACTCTTTTCACTGGTAAACAGAGGAACTAGGAGCAAGGACGCTACTAGGGGCTCCTGGCATCGCTACTAGGAGCAAGGACGCTAGCTACTAGGGGCTCCTGGCCGTACTACTAGGAGCAAGTAGCTACTAGTAACAAGAAGCTACTAGGGTTTCGGCAAAGTTGGAGAATTTCGATACCCTCATAGTGCTCACACACTAACAGGTGCCTTACTGGTAGTAACAAGAAGCTAGTAGAAACAAGTGCCACGCTACTAGTAACAAGTGCATTGCTACTAGGAACAAAGAAGCTATTAGGTCAAAAAAAAGCTTATAGATGACTCCACGTTCGCACCTTTTTTGTGTGCGCACTGTTTCGCATGTTTCAAGCCCAGGTGGGGTAGGCCGTAGAGGCAAGTAGCTAGGGGTAGCTAGTAGAAGCAAACGGTAGCTACTAGCTTAAGTAGCTACATATGGACGCAGGATAGCTCAGGCTTCTTCAAGGAAGCTCCCCCCTGCCGCCCTAAAGCAACATGGTTCCAACATGGTAGAGATGGCCTCCAACCTAATAGCGATGGCCTCAAACCTAATAGCAATGGCCTCCAGCCTAAGAAGGATTGCCTCCACCCTAAGAGCGTTGGCCTCCAACCTAACATGTTTCATGTTTCTTTCCAAGATACTCCTGGAACTGACTACTCAACTCTGAACTCTCAACCCCCCTCAAAACATGGTGGGTTTCCCTTCACTTCGAAACCTAAAGAACCGAAGTAGACGAGTTCACCACTGTGCCTTTCCGATCGAAAAGGCCTGCCACGGACGGCAAGCGTCCCCGTGCTGCCGCCCTGGCCTTTGTTGAAACGGAGAAGCCATCTGAGTGCCAGGGCAGGGTCTGCGATGTTTGGTCCTACCATGGTCTTTGGTCATCACTACAGAATGGTCTGCGTCAATGCCATGTGACTTTTCCGGATTCGGTTTGGACGGTTTGGAGGATATATATATATATGAGGTTATGTCTCACCGCGGCTGCAGGCTTTGTTCAGGGGTCTGCTGGGGAGTCACACACTCTCCGGAGAGCTGGAAGTAGAAGGCTGACCTAAAAGACCCTCTTGACTAAGTGGGGCAGTTCCACCAGTGTTCCATTAGTCACCCGGTTTCTTGAGTGTTTGACTCGAAAGTGAATATCTTTTCATTTTTCCCTTTTTTCCTTACACCTTTGGAACACCTTTTCTTCCTTTTTTTCTTTTCACCTTTATCGACACCCTCCAGATCGACGGGTTTTGACCGCAGATGCACAGCTAAGCCCCAGTTGCTACAGGAGAGCATGCTGCCCACCCAGAGTACTAGGGCTTTTGGCTAGGTCTTTGAAGACGTTGGACGATCGGGGCTCAGCAACAGCTGTTGAACTGAGCCTCCAAACCAAAAGCCTGCTGGATGTTGAATCTTGCCAAGTGAATTCTGGAAAGGGTTGATGTTCCCGGTTCATAAGCAATTTATGCAAGTGTCGGACATTCGTTACCTCGATACACCGTCCCAAGCGAGCATACATGCCTGGACCATCCAAGGGGTCACGGACTGCCCTGCGCTACTGATAGGCTTCCATTGAACACCCCTTCAATGGTCCTGGTGTTTGCTTCTGATTTGTAACGAAGAGTCCGTTCATTTGAAAGGGAACAAAGGGCATCGCTACTAGGAGCAAGAGGACGCTACTAGGGGCTCATTCAAAAAAGTGCCAAGACTACCTCGCGAGTCTTATACCCTTTGTTCAGCCCGTGTTCCGACCGGCAGTTTCTTGAAACAAAGCAACCATTCAAAAGAACTTCCAAACAGATCGAAAGGGCAAGCAGGATTCGACTAGCTACCTTTTGACCTAGAGCACGATGCAAATGACTGCTCTTGGGAGGTTTCCCCATTGAATCCAATAAACTAAAAGGTCCAGATGAGGAAGGCTCAATTACTCTTGTCTATTTGTGTCTTGTTATGTCTACGACTGAAATCTTGGCAGGTTTTGTTTGTTCGATAGAAATAGGGCCCCCCTTCAAACTGCCAAAACTCTGCAAACCTGACAAAGTGCCTCAAGATATCAGCGAACGAAACTGGGAGGGAGGGTTTGCAAGAAGTTTCTTCTCTATTTCTGTGCCCCCAAGTGAGTTTTCAGGGAAAGTGTTTTGGGGAATCTCGAGTGGATTCAGTGGTTTATAATGACTTGCTCCGCGACTGACACGTTGAGGCCCAACCGTCGGGCCGTCTCCCCGTCGGGCATGCTCAGCGGCTGCGAGGATGCCAGGTCAGCCTCTAACGTGATAGGTTCTGAAAAAGTCCTAGGTGACACCAGGGTTTCTTACAGACATTCTAGCTACTAGTAGCTTCTGGAGCCTTACTGCTATAGTAGCTTGTTGCTACCTTTGAACTCCTCCAAACCTAGACACCCTCAGACCTTGAGGGCCTCTCGAGCGACCTCTTCACGTTCATCCTCCAACTCACAGTACGAACCCTTTTAGGCTAACAAGGTCAATCTCATATGCCCTTGGACTTAAGATGATTGAAGTGCAACATCAAGATATTTACAATCAAACAGCGGTTTGGGGCAGCTTTTGAAAGGCCTCTCCATGTGAAGGAGCTAAAATCTGCCAGAGGCTCTTGTGGTCGACAGGCCGTACAGATTGGATGCTTGTAGGGTGGAGGCCATCGCTACTAGGTTGGAGACCATCACTCTTAGGTTGGAGGCCATCGCTCTCAGATTGGATGCTTGTTGTGGTCTCCTTTCCGGATTGAAACCAAAACCAGCCTTTGGTCCTTTGTTAAGGCCAAACCAGCTGAGGACATGGCAGGCCTGCCGAAAGAGCATGCACAGCAGAGAGATGGGACGGGGACTTGCCTCTTTGTTCCTAATAGCGAACATTGTTTCTAATAGCTTCTTGTTACTACTAGTAAGGCACTTGTTACTAGAAGCGATGCACTTGTTCCTAGTAGCTTCTTGTTACTCTCACTTATTTCACGGATACATCAATCCCTCCCGACAACTGCTCTTGACATGACAGGGAACCACAGCGACCGGTAGATTGTCATGAGGCTGCCTTAGACCATCCTGCCAGGATCCGGAAATATGCAGCTTCGCCCATGCTCCCCTTCTGCAATTCCTCTCCCAGAACCAACCTGGATGAGTGCAGAGTATACTCCTTTGTTTCAGATGTTTCGTGCATGAGTGCGCTCCAGTTCCTTGTGACCCTGGAAAAGGGAAATGGCCTCCAACCTAGTAGCAATGGCCTCCACCTAAGTGCGTCTCCAACTAGTAACCGATTCCACTTTGGAGTGTATGAAGAGTTACCAGTTCCATCCGGAAGAGGATCCTGACAGGTGTACCAGCAGCCCTCCAGCCGTTCCGTGCCAAAGCCCCAGCCCCCGTAGCAAGCTGGGGTCATTGGGCAGGGGTCGTTGGGCAGGAGAGCAACTCTTGTTTCGGCTGACTCAAGTCACATCGAACCAGATCTATGGCACCTCCAAAGGACGCTACTAGGGGCTCCTGGCATCGCTACTAGGGGCAGATTCGTCTGAGGACTGCACGCATGCGATGTATTCAAGCTAGGCTCAACCCCCAAATGCTCGGACTAGTCAGATGGCGTGCTCAACCTGCCTCTGGATAGGCTCTTTCGGCGGTGCTTTGCAACGGCAACAGCACCAACACATGTTTTACTTTGAGCTCCGGCCTCGTCTTTGTGCCTTCTCCAGGCTGCACTAGGAGGTCGTTCCTCTTCCAAGCCGGACCGACAGCCCCTCACAAACAGCAAGACGTCCATTGTGGAGCTGGGGCAGTGGAAGCTCCGAAACCGGCAATGCTTTGGAATTCTGATCGTCACTGAAGGTTGTGCAATGATGGGTGTTGAGGCCTCATGTTGGCTTCACAGGCATAAGGTCCAGCTTGGGCATTCCAAAATCATTCTACCACACTGGCATATGTTCTGATTATGCTTTGTTTCTCGTGGGATCAGATCGTCAGCAACAAAGAACACTTTCAAGTCATGTTTACGTCCTCCTTCTGAACCGAGAGATGGCAATCCTGGTGGCCTGCAAGAGCGAAATCAATTTTTGGTCCTCTCTTCGAACCTAGAGAGAAACCTATCACCAAACGTGGAGCGACGGCTTGTTTCAGCTACCAGCACTGTTTTCGGCCCGATGGCAAGATTACCATTTCTGTACTTGTTTAACAACTTGCGTTTTGCATAGCCATCGGGTTGTTGACAGCATTGGGAGGGGTAGGGGCAAAATGATTCAGTTGCAACAAGCCATTTGGCTGTCACATGCCAGCTCTTAAGGTTCGAGCACGAACGTGCTTTCAGCACGCAAGTGGTCTATTCTTTAGCTTCGGTTGTGCTGGCACCTACTTGCCTTTGGAACGCTTTGTCTTGGAGACCGTTCTGTATCCAGATCGTTGGACTTTGTCTTCGGAGTCGCTGGAGTTTCATGACTTGTTGCAATCGGTCGGCATAGAAGGAAGGAGTTTCTGCAGTTCTCCCTTCAGGCCATCATTGGATAGAATCAGTTCCCACGCACGTGCAAGGTGCGTAAGAATAAAAAGAAGATCAGCAGCATGCAGACCTAGGTCTGGCGGCAGCTGAAGCGGTACGTGCCATGCAGTGCAAGCCGAGACCGACAAGTCTCTTCGGTCACGTGGAGCCGCTGAAGACTCTGGTGTGGATGTCTAAGTATTAGACCTTTCTTTTTTCTTTGTTTCTAAGAGCGATGGCCTCCAACCTACTACTTCTGGTGCGGAAGAATGCCTTGCTCCTTTCAAAAAAAAAATATCCTAGCCCGGATGGTATGTGTGCGTTTGTTTTGGAGTTCCTTTGAAAAACATGCGAGTCGCGCTTGTCGTAATTTCACAGGGACAAAATTGAGCGCTCAATGCCTCGTAAAAAATGCTCTCAAGGTAGTATTGAAACGTGTACGCCACTGACATTTTTGGGTCCTGACCATGTGAGATGAAATTGCAATTGCACAGGACGTTTAACAGGGTCGCTACCTAGTTTCAGAACCCTGTAGTGGCTGTGTCCTGGAATCGTGCGCTGCATATATGTAATGTGGACCTAGATCATGTTTGCCATCAATGTGGACCAACCAAACTGGGAATCCTAAATCGAAACTGGAGGATGACATTGAAACATTTGGTTTTCCCAGCGGCATTTATGTATGTGTCTCTAACATATACATCCATACATGCATGCATGCATACATACATCCATCCATACATACATATATATATATATATATATACCCATGGATTGGTTCTGGCTACCCTGCAACTCCAAGGTCTTTGTTGGCCTCCTCCTCCTCCTTCTCCTCCCAGGTCCCCACCCAGCAGCTTGAGCCTGCCACGAAGGCACGAAAAGTTGCGCACTGGGTAAGGCAGGCGTCTTGGAACCCGACCTTCGGGATGTCGGAGGCACCGAATCCAGGTTCGAAGATGAACCTTTAGGACCGGGCTTCTTCATTTGAGCGGTGAAGATTAGGACTTAGGCACATAGCTTCGAGGACTGAGAAGTGGGCACCTGAATAGCGGTCTCCAAACCTAATAGCAATACAAGTTTGTTGATTTTTTGGGCAAACATGCGGAAGACACGCCAAGCTTGGCGCAAACCGAAGGATAGGCCGGAACGAGCGCAACGTGCCAGAGGACGGATGGATGTACGTTCCAATTAGAAACAAGTGCCTTACTAGTAGTAACAAGTACCTTACTAGTAGTAACAAGAAGTTTGCTATTAATTAATGATTAAGTTTAATTTGCATTCAAGGAAATCCAAACCTGAGGGAACATCCAGTGGTTGGTTGGTCTTGATCCATAACCTGAAACACTTAATACGCAAAAGGGCCAGCTCCCGATCGGTGCAAGGTGACCCTACCATTACACACGAATAGAGTTCTTTTTGATGGTGTTTGGCCAGTTAGAAAATGTGGGTCTTTGTTGCTTGAGGGGGGATTCTCTTGAGTCTGGCGAACTGGAGGTGACGCAAAGTGGAGACCTCCAACCGATCCCCACGACTCTGTTTGAAAGCCTACGACTCTGCAGGCCAACTGCTGATCCGAAGCCGGAGGCGGTGCTTTTGCGTGTGTCAAAGATCACCGTTGGATCTGGGTAAATCTAATTGTTGGCCACTAGTCAAAGAGTATCCCTACTTGAGGAGTCGGTTTGGAAGGTCTACCGGGGCCAGAGCGCCAAACTCAAGGGGTTGGGAAGCGCCCAACGAGGTCCTTCACGGCTTGGCTAAAAAGGCACACCTCAACAGGACGGACTCGGATGGTTGGTGCTTGGGTCATGTTCGACCATTTTGGAGGTACGTGATGCTACCAAAAGTAGCTGGGACAGGCGCGATTTTAACATCCATGAATTGGGGCTCAATGTCGGTGCTTTTGTCTCTTGACCTGCCTGCAGGATTGTGTGGAAAGCCCATCCCCAGGTTTGCCAGTGAATGCCCCCGCTAGTGAAAGAGATCCAACAACATCACCACTCAAAAGCTATTGAACCTCGGGGTCTTGGCATTTTCACGAGCACCAAATTGGAGGGTTACACGGTTCGAGCTACAGGCCTGGGCCCAGTGCCCAGTGGAGCCCATGTCCAAGGCGGAGAGATTAATTTTGGGGATGGGGGTTCTGTGGCGAGCGGTCGCAGGAAGCCTTGAACTAAGGACTGCAAGGGCCCTCCAACAAGCAGTCTACACTCCCCATAACTAGTTTCTGGGCCATGAAATTGTTGGAAACACGAATCTCACAGGTATAGGCGATGGCATCCAACCTGCTAGCGATGGCATCCAACCTAATATCAATGGCGTCCAACCTTATAGCCATGGCCTCCAGCGTACTTGCCATGGCCTCCAACCTAATAGCGATGAAAGAGTTGAGTTTTCGTTGGATCGCCAGTGTGGGCCCGAAAGAATTGAAGAAATGCAACATGTTTGGTGTAGCATTCATGTCCCACTGATCGTTAGAAACTAATGTAAGAGAAAGTCTAAGAGATGAAGAGAAGAACCTTGGGCACGGATGCTTGATTCTAATTAAATACTAAAAACTTAATAATAGCTTCTACTAGCTTCTTGTTACTACTAGTAAGGCACCTGTTACTACTAGCGTGGCACTTGTTACTACTAGCTAAGAGAAAGTCTAAGAGATGAAGAGAAGAAGATGCGTGGGCCCCTTTAATGAGGCTCAGTAAAGTCCTTTTTCAGCACGTCCTGATAGGATCTGGGATTTGCTAGGGCTTGGACAAGTACGTCCAGACGATGTCTGACTTCTGCTCGATCTCCAGTTGCTCCAGTGCAGTGAGGCAAGTCATTTGGAGGGTGCACGCGGGACCAGGGCACGGCTACTAGGTTGGCCATCACTAGTAGGTTGGAGACCATCGCTACTAGCAACAAGAAGCTACTAGGAGCAAGTTTCATTTCTTTCTCTTTGAGGAATTCTAAACCCTATTCGGGTCAGGTGACCCTGGAGGCACCTAGTTCAGAGGCTTGGTTTTCCTACTTGACCTTCCTGAGAATGAGCAAGTGGCAAAAGGCAAGTACATGTCCATTTTAAGAACCAAGCAAGTAGTTCACTGCGAACCTTTGGAAATTGGTGAGAGAAAGTCCTAGTTTGCCTCCCCCTGGCTCAAGGAATATCCAGTTACGTACCAGGTGACCAGGTGGGCTCAAAACACTGGGGTTGCCCAACTCACGAGGGCAGAGCTCGGACGAGACAGCCCGAAAGAGCAGCTAGGAAACGCTAGAAAACCACCCTGTTCCAATGGTAGCGGTTTGTGCACCAAACCTGTGGGAACCAAAACTCCTATGAACTAGGAACAATGTTTGCTACTAGGAACAAGTGCATCGCTTCTAGTAACAAGTGCCTTACTAGTAGTAACAAGAAGCTACGAACGGGGCTCCTGGCCTTACTACTAGGAACAATGTTTGCTACTAGGGCCTATGACACTCCTTGAGCCACGTAATCGTTGATTCCTTGGCCTCCACTTCGAGAAATGGGGTGTGAGAGGCTTGACATCACGATTGGGGATTTGGACCAGAAAATGCATGTGAAAGAATGACTTGTGGCCATTACTACTAGCAACAAGAAGCTACTGGGTGGAGAAGAGAGACTTGTGGATGGAGATGGGCTAAAAGGCTGCAAAAATCCCGCAGATAGCTCTTATTCCTTCTCCGATGTCAAAATCAATGGAAAAGAACGCGGGAAGACTGTTCGAGTGTTTTTCCTTTCATGTTGTTCTTCGGGGGGAGGCTGGTTCTCAGTGGTAGAACTGCCCAGGCGGCCATCATTGCTAACGCCTGCAAGCTGCGTGGGACCCACTGCCCGGCAGGATGCAGAATTGAAAGAGTTTGGACCTGACTATTGGAAACCCTAGTAGCTTCTTGTTCCTAATAGCTACTTGCTCCTAGTAGTACGGCCAGGAGCCGCTAGTAGCGTCCTTGCTCCTAGTAGCGATGCCAGGAGCCCCTAGTAGCTTCTTGTTACATCTAAATGAAAATGCACTGTGAAAAGAAGAATGTACCTAAGAGCGATGGTCTCCAATACAGAGATATGTTCCTGTTGTGTGGGGGTCTTGGAAGAAAGTTCTTACTTCAGTAGGAACTTCTGATTGGTTGTGCTGTTTGAAGAGCCCAGGGCGATGGGAGAGGACCTCGCTCGCTCTGGGAAGAAAACGGAGGCCAACTTTCGTTAAAGAGTGTTTGCTTGGTGTTGAATTGTTGAGTTAGGTGATGCAAACCCCAGGATCACATGGCAGACTTGCATTATTCTTCTCCAAGTCAAGTTGGTCCGGTGTCGTTTTTGGATGAAGGTCCAAACTACCCAACCCATCCGCGTACCCTTGCCCACGCTTCAGACCCCAACAGAGTATGTTGGAATCCGTGCTAATGTGCTGGCCCAGGACATGATTCCAATTACTTTGGCATCCTTCAATAGGATGGCCCCCACTATTGAAGGCAGATGACCACCTCAACAAAAATTGATATATGATATACGTGCATACATATATTATACATACACGTGTTTTGTTTCACTTTCTGTCGGACTTGTGTGAGTTTATATACCTGTGCTGAGAAGATTGAGATGGGTATCCTTCATCATACTGAACCGCTTGACTAGATTCATCACATCAGTCGGTGGTGAGCTGACAAGGTTTAGTTCGGCTCAGTAGCCGACAAACAGGATCCCTCACCGCCTGAGACAAGCATGCTTTCAGATTTGACTTGTCTCGATTCGTGAGCTAGAAATGAATCACGTGTCCTTGGTCACCTAGAAATTTGGGATCTGGGTTAGACCCAGTGTTCGTCAGCCTAGGCGCCAACAGCACCAGTGACAGCCTGGAGCCTAGTTCCTGAACACGGCCACGCCGTATGATGTTGGACTACTTGGATATGTGGCTGATCAGGGGGTTTTCATTGCGATTCAAAAATGACACTGGAACCAACCTGTCAGCTCCCACCCAGCAAAGTAGAAGGAGCGAACACCTTCGTGGATTGAACAAGTTGATGGTGTGCAGCTGGTGAAGAAGCATGTAATTCTGCAATGGTTTTTTGGCCAGACAAGAGACATATTGGCCACCGCCACAGACGGAGTCATGCGTAAAAAGAACGGAATGGAACTTCCATGTCACAAAGGCAAATGGCTGTGGAGATGTGAAGGGTGCGTGGTGTGTGGTGCTTCCCCCCACCGGATCTCCTCGACGAAGTGCCGGAAGTGCATGCCTATACAGAATCCATCAAAGACACTCAAAGAGCCCACGTTTGAACAAGCATGTTCTCACAGTTAGATTCTGCAACGCTATCAGCACCTCAGGTTACACCCGACCGACCCTGTTGCTTGGTCCAACAAAATGCAGGTGATTTTGCAACTTTCCCGCTCCTTTTGGGAATACATACTCTGGAGCATCCCACTTCACCAATCCCCGATCCGTCATCCACCTGTCAACATGTGATCACATTGTGATGATTGTGATCCCTGACCAAAGATGTCATCTGTCCGCTAGGTTGGAGGCCATTGCTAGGAACAAGCTACTAGGCTCCTGGCATCGCTACTAGTAGCAAGAAGCTGCTAGGTGGACGCTACTATTAGGTTCTCTCCACTCCGTCTGTCCAGGGCCCAATTCCACGCGGATCGCCTTCAGGGTCTTACCACCGGAGGCGGCGCGGGTCGGAGGTCGGACATGCACGCGGTTCCTTGCCGGAGCGCAGATGCCGCTGCCAAACTCAAGAGCAAGGAGCTACTAGTTGCGTCCTTGCTCCCAGTAGTCAGGCCGGGAGCTACTAGTTGCATCGTTGCTCCCAGTAAGGCCGGGAGCTACTAGTTGCGTCCTTGCTCCCAG